CAATTTGGGGTTTAGTGTTTAGGGTTTCTACTTTGGGGTTTAGGGTTTTGGCTATCTACTTTGGGTTGAAGGGTTTAGGGTATCTACTTTGGGGTTTAAGGTCTATAAATCATACCTACCTTGGGCTATGTGGAACCTTCAGGGTACGTCCCAACCGCAAATCCAGGGCTGACGGCTTAAGGTCTATAGACTCTAGAGATTGAACCCTGGAAAGAACCTTAAATCGGGGTCCAGATGTACTGCTAGTGTGGAACTTAATTCCTCAAGAAGCCAGGGGAATGAACGGTTCAACTTTCAGATTACTACTAAGTTATAAGACCCCCAAAAAGCAAAAAGTTTATAAAGGTTGGGTATTGGGGAACTCAGGGAAATAGGGCCCCCCGAACCATGGTTCGAATTGTTTATTTGGGGCTTGAAGTAAAGTCCGCGGCACCCTCCCGGTATGCTGAACCCTACACAAACCCTAAACCCCAAACTCTAAAAGTCCAAATCCTGAACCCCGAACCCATAACCCCAAGCCCCGACCCCATAGCCCCATCACCCTAAACCCATAGCCTGAGCCCCGAACCCATAGCCCCAAACCCCCAAACCCGAAACAGTAAACCCTAAACCTTAATCGTTTGGGCCTTATAGAACTCTTCTCAGCCTCCGTCCAAGACAAAACAGACCCCTAAACCCCACACCCTACACCCTAAACCCTAAAGCCTAAACCCCAAACCCCTAAACCCTAAACCCTAAAAGCTAAACCACCCCCAAGAGAGTTCCAAAGGTGCCTGGACCATGCTTCACGACGTGCAGGAACTCGGTGAGGTCCTGAAATCTATAAGACGAAGACGGTTTAGGCTTTAGGGTTTAGGGTTTAGGGCTTAGGGCTTAGGGCTTAGGGTTTAGGGCTTACTGCTCAGGGTTTAGGGTTTCGGGGTTAGGGTTTAGGGATTTAGGGTTTAGGGTGTAGGGTTTAGGGGTTTAGGGTTCAAGGGTTTAGGGCTGCGGCTTCGGGCTTAGGATTTAGGATTGCTAACAAGTTGATTTAGTCAGGCGTGGACTTGAAGGCTTTATGGTGGAGGCTTAACATACAAAGATCAATGACCATTCTGATCTGAAGAGTCCTCGGTAGCTAAGGTATGGAAGAAACTCGCTAAATGCCTCAAATGACACTTCTAGACCCACAGGACATCAACGTCACAAACTGTATACTTCGACCAGGTTGTAAGGATGCAGGAGTTTGTTTGCTCTTTCTTTCCGTACATACACATAACGATAGTTCTCTAAATTAGGGTCCCTTTTAGGGTCCTTTTATAAGGGTGCCGTACTATTTTGGGGACCTAAAAGGGGACCCTAATTTAGAGAACTATACATAGACACTAGTAGTAAAGGAAGCCCTGAAAGGAACCCCTAAACCCTCAACGCAAACCCTAGACCCTAAACCCTACACCCCTGAAGCCGAAAACGGGTGGCCCCTATTAACTTAAGACCGAAGAAGAACCCTAAACCCTAAACCCTATAAAACAGAAATCCTTGTAAAAGCTTCTGAAGCCCTACATCAAATCCATTAAAACCCCTAAACCCGTAAACCCTAAACCCCTAAACCCTAAACCCTAAACCTCAACCTTGTGAACCCTGACACCGTGGCGTCCTGCGTCGCGAGAGGAGGCCTGGCAGGCAGAGTTTTCATGCTTGCGTTCGGGGCTTTTAGGGCCCTTTAGGATCGAAGTTTGGGGAGGGTTCGTCTTAAGGGTTCTACATAAGAGATTTCTCATGCATTTTAGGGTGGGTTCCGTTACCCAGAGACTCCAACATCGCTTAATTAAGGAATATACCTTAAATTATAATAGGATCCCTAATATGGTTTAAAGCTTAAGGTATATTCCTTAATTAAGGGGTATTGGAGTCTCTGGGTAAAGTTAATAAAGCAGTTTAGGGATCAGTGAGTCAAGTGTTCAGGATTGAAGGACGCCGAAAGGTGCTGTACGGGTTCTGCGTCTACCGTGCTTTCAGAGTTTAGGGTATGTTAGGGTGTAGGGTTCAGGGTTTAGGGTTTAGGTACAGTAGGGTTCTAAGGTTTAGCGGACTTGTAGGGTTTTGAGTTTAGGGTCGTCGCTTGAATAGAGTCTTCCTAGGCGGGGCGGCGGCATTCCAGCAGGGATAGCAGTCATAGTAGCAGCACCGTGTCGAAATTCGAAGTGGAACCTGGAAGCAGCAGAGCTAGAAGTAGTGCGAGTATGACCGGTGTTTGTCGTCGTCATCGTAGCAGTAGCAGTGGCAGTTTGTTAGTCAGTGAGTGAGTCAGTCAGCCAGTTAGTAGGCTAGACATGGTGCGGTTTGTATGGCATACATATCAGGATATGGACCTGAGAGATTAAAGAAGACCCGTGGCTCTCATTATCCAGATCCCTGAAAAGACCATAAAACATAGAACTCACCTATTTTGCCACGGCTCAAGATACGCCTACTGTAGTGTTAGCTTCGTTATGGGTGCTGGGTTGAGTCAGAATCTATACTGTGTTATAAAGTTCGGGTTTGTAAGGTCTGGATTGGGGTTTGGGGGTCCATGCAATTGCTTGCCATGCGCACCAAAGCATCTATATAGGAACGCATCCAAGGTCAAAGCAAAACGCAAACACAGACTTGCCTACTTGTCGAGTATCCTGGAAAACTGAGGTTAACCTTTGGGAGTTTATTGGGGTTATATAGGGGGTTATAGCACACCAAAAAGGATAATCTAAGGGTTACCTACCCTACTACTAAGCTAAAACGGACATGGACCCTTTCCGAATCCTCATACCGACCCAAATGTCTGTAATCCTCCAGGCCCTGGCCATACCACCACAATGCAGTAACCTCTGCCTTTATCCCAAGACCCTTTAAGCCCCAAACCCCAAAACCCTAAAACCGTAAAACCCTAAACCTTGACTTCAACCCCAAACCCGAAACCGCTTTATCCCAAGACCCATGGTCCTTAAACAGGTCACGTGCTGACAACACCCTAAACCCCAAACCCTAAAACCCTAAACCCTAAACCCTGAACCCGAACCCTAAAGCTGTCGAGCCCGCTCCCGTCAACACCCGACTCTGCCTGATTGGGCTTGGAGCTTTCGCCCTGAGCATGACATCGGAGGCCGTCATCTCTTTTAAGGCTTAGGCTTTAGCCTTTAGGCTTTGTGCTTTAGGGTTTAGGCTTTAGGGTTTTAGGCTGTAGGGTTTAGGGTTTTAGGGTTTTGGGTTTAGGGTTTTAGGGTTTGGGGTTTTAGGGTTTATAAAGGGTTTAGGGTTTATAAAGGGCTTAGGGTTTAGGGGGGGCTCTTTTAGACGCATGCGCGGATGAGCTTTTGAAGAGTTTTCAACAGGGCTTTGTGTATTGTAAAGGCTATAAGGTAACGGCTTAGGCTTCAAACCCTAAATCCTAAACCCTAATTAAACCCTAAACCCCTAAACTCTAAAACCCTAAACCCCTAAACCCTAGAACCCTAAACCCTAAAACCCTAAACCCTACACCCTAGAACCCTAGAGCCCTAAGCCCTAAACCCTAGAACCCTAGAACCCTAGAACCCTCAACTATCAACCTCCAGGCCATAGCTCTTGGGTAGTCGCTTTTAACTCTTGGAATCCCGCGTAGGCAAGATTCCGGGCTGGGTGATGGGACAGTTTAGGGCTTATAATTATACCCCAAACCCCCAAACCCAAAACCCTAAAACCTTAAAACTTCAATTAAACCCTAAACCCTAAACAAAAACCCAAAAAACCCTAAACCCTAAACCCTTAGGGTCTAGGGGTTCTCAGAGTCTCCGTGCAATACTGCCCTTATGGGCCAAAAGTCCATGGTCATCGTGGTTTTGGGCCTTGGGGGCCTACCTTCCATAGGGTAGAACCCTTTGGGGAACCCTCTTATGAAACCCGTTTAAGGGAACCCTTAAAAGGAGCTATTTTTGGAAGTAGAACCCTGAAAAACAGTAGGCTGTCGCACCCACAAGACGTTGACAAAAGCCGTTCTAAAAGCCTAGAAGCCCTCCCTGGCCCCGACAAAGGACTTTAAAAAGGAAGCCACAACAAGGCACACTGAAAGCCTAGAAGCCCTCCCTGGCCCCGACAAAGGACTTTAAAAAGGAAGCCACAACAAGGCACACTGAAAAGGTCGGCTTCTCAGCCCTAAACCCCTGAAGCCCTAAACCCCCAAACCCCTGAAGCCCTGAACCCCTAAACCCCTGAAGCCCTAAACCCTAAACCCCCAAACCCCTGAAGCCCTGAACCCCTAAACCCCTGAAGCCC